ATCTTAAAAAATCTATTGCTTGAGATATTTAGCAAAGATTAGAAAAAATATTTAAAAAAATTATTCTGCGCTACTAGGGATATTGCAGAAAACGTGGAAAATCTTAATCATATTTCTCGCTCCGAGGATCCCCGTATTAATTGACCCCGAAGTCTTCGGAAAGGGTAATTTAGGAAGGGGACAATTACAAAATTGACATTACACGTAACTGAAACGTATTAATTTACAGGATATTTTTCTAAGATAATAGAAAGCATACAGAATAAATACAGGATTATTCTTTAATAATATTTTTTGTTCCGATACATTACAAATTATTCCTGGTTAATATCCTAATTAGCATCATAATGAGACTCAACCGTAGGAGTAATGATAAATAATTTTAAATTTATTCATTAATTAATGAATCTAATTTATTAATTAATCTAATTTTTTTCGTACAATTCTGTGCATTTAAACTTATTTAAAGTCACCCGTTTCTGTACTCTACTTGCATGAAAACTTCAGTAAAGAGGGCGAAAGAAAAGTTCCTTGAAATTTGAGAACCTTTATGATCGTTTTCGGATTATTCCTGGAAAGTGAATGATGTACTGCTTTAGTCGAGTATGAAATCCCTACTTAAACAGTACTTGTCCTATACTCTCTATCCCTTTTATGAGCTGACAAAAGAAGGTGCAGATAGATTTCGTGACTGGCTCCGAGCCAAACCTACCAAGGAAGAAATTCCTTAGTTTTAACAGCAATATATCAGTTTTGGGACTATAGTGCTTCCAGGATATAGTTATCATCTCTTTAAGGAACAAAATTAATAAATTAAACACCGAAACGTATGGTTATATATACTTATTTGATAGAAAGTCACTCGAATGACATTGATAAAGAATACGTAGGAAGAAATCGTAGGAGGAAAATTAAGTATAAAGTTGTTTACTTAGAATTAAAAGCTGGTACAATTGAATTTATTATAGTATGTATAATACATCCGTGTACATATTCATGGATAGTTTGGATTTCCGATAGCTTAACGAATTTTTAGGTTTATTCTAGTTTAGAATAAATTGATGAACTAAATCCGTACTGATTAATTTAAATCTTACCCCTATGTAACAAGGACGAAATTCTCTTCTAATCCCATTATGCGTCATAAAATAATTAGATATTCGTAGATCAATAGTGGATATATAATTTTCATCTACAGTAGATATAGGTATTTATATATATCCTGTAGATATTTTTTTAGGTGGATGATAGACGGTATACATTTGCTATGCCTATAGACCTAATTTAGACGATTAATTTACGTATGTCCACTTCATGAGTTGCCTGGGTAATCAATTATTTTAATGTCTAAGACCCCTCTTTCTAAATAATTTATTACTTATGGGTACTACCCTAAATATACCAAAACGTCAAAATGTTTACGAAAATTTTCTCGAAACAAGGTGCACCAAATAATTTGAAACTTCAGAATGCAATTGTGGAGGTCCTAAGGAAGGACGCTACGCTACAGAAATTTCATTTTTTCAAACAAAAATTTTGCATGCATCCCAGACTAGGACCAAGGACATACTTTTGTTTGAAAAATGAAATTTCACGAGCATCGGGTTCTTCCTTAGGGCCTTCATAATCACGCGCTGAAGGTTCAAATGCTTCGGTGCTTCCAGTTTGGGGAAAAGTTTCATAAATATTATGACGCTTTATATATATATATAGAAGGATCCTTCCTCTCATTTTATATACATGAAAATGTGAAAGCAATTATAAAACTTTTCCCCAAACCTGAGTCTATCGAATCATTTGACCCTTCAACACATGATTAGGAACGCTCTAAGGAAGAACGCGATGCTCATGAAATTTCATTTTTCAAAGATAAAGTTTCTTTTATTTAGCCTATACTAGAACCAAGATCCCATTTTTTTTTTGTGAAAAATGAAATTTCCCGAACACCGCGTTCTTTCTTAGGGCCTTCATAATCACGTGCTGAAGTATCAAATGATTCGTTGCACCCAGGTTGGAGAAAAGTTTCATAAATATTTTGACGCTTTATATACATATCGAATGTCCCTTTCATATCACCTTAATTCTACATTTCATGTACTGGTGACATTGCGTCTCTAAAGAATGCAATTAATATCGGGCCACTTTCTCTGCTGTCCACCTTTTTAAATAAAAAGGATAATATTTACTCGCGGTCGCGGGGTAATGCGAAAACGTCCTTAAACTCATTCAGCCTGGAGTGCGACGATAAAGCACAGGACAAAAGGTCCTTTTCGAGGCTCTTTCTCCTTCGCTCTCTCCGGACAGACACGGAAGATGAAAGCAAGAGGGCTGTGTTCATCAAGTAACATTGTGAGAAAAAAAAACAGTCCCCGCAAGTAGCGCAATGGAATATAGGGACTTAGCGGAGGCTAAAATAAACTCTCCCGGGACATTTACCTTCATGAATAATTATTTCCACCGCGGCATGGCCACGGGTTGAGGTTTTGGCATCCCCGTCGCTGCATTCGGCGAGGAAGTCGAGTTTCTCGCGTAATGTAAAACTCCATCGAGCGAATCGCTCGAAATAAACGGCACGCTAGAATGCACCTTGGTCAGAAAGTACCCGGAATGGATCTGCAATAATAGGAGAAGTTGGCCTTATTTGGCCCCGAATTGCTCGCCTTTCCATTCCGGGGATATTTAGTCGCCATTTTGGCATAAGCATCCGGAAAGTGGACGATGCCAAACATTATTGGTCTTCGAGCGAATTAAGCTACAGCGGACGGTATTCCGAAAGAAATTTAATTTAAGAGGAACTCAATGAGAAGGATTACATTTTTCAACAGCGCGGAACAAATATTTTAGAAAAGTATCTTGAAAATATTTTTCGCGAATATTGCAAACTGTGAGTTGCTGATAAATTAATCACTATTGGTTTTCGATCGAATTAAACTGCAATGGACGGTATTTCGAAGGAAATTTAATTTAAGAGGAATTCAATGAGAAGGATTAGATTTTTTAACAGCGCGGAAAAAATATTTTATAAAAGTATCTTAAAAATATTTTCCGCGAATATTGCAAACTGTGAGTTGTTAATAGACGAATCACTGTTGGTTTCGATCGAATTAAGCTACAGCGGACAATATTCCGAAGGAAATCTAATTTAAGAGGAACTCTATGAGAAGGATTACATTGTTTAACAGCACGGAAAAAGATATTTTAGAAAAGTACCTGAAAAATATTTTTCGCAAATATTGCAAACTGTGGGTTGTTTGTGGGCCAAACATTATTGGTTTTCGATCGAATTAACCTGCAGTGGGCGGTATTCCGAGGGAAATCTAATTTCAGAGGAACTCAATGAGAAGGATTAGATTTTTTTACAGCGCAGATAAAATATTTTAGAAAAGTATCTTGAAAATATTTTTCGCGAATATTGCAAACTGTGGTTTGTTGATAAATGAATCACTATTGATTTTCGATCGAATTAAACTGCAATGGACGGTATTCCGAAGGAAATTTAATTTAAGAGATTTGACCTGTACACCTGCAGTAATAATCATGCATCAACTATTACAAGTGAACCGGCACTTTTTTATCTATGAAAAATTTTACATATTTACGATACACTGAATAAATTGTAACGTTTTATTTTACTGTTGTAACTGATGCTAACGTTTTTATTTTAAATGTTTTTTAACAAGTCAAGACACAATGATGGCTCGACATGTTAAAAAAAAAAACATTTAAAATAACAACGTTACCATTTGTTACAACATTGAAATAAAACGTTACAAAGTATAAGTAATGTTCTGACCGTATGAAATACCCATCCGAAGTAACGTACGACACATTGGGTTTCTGTTCGCCAGCAATAATAATGAATACTGGAATTATTTAAGGTGAACTTATTTCTCATTAACTCCGAAAATCTTTGCATATTTATGACACATTAGATGAGCAGCTACGAGCAGGGTATTGAACATAAAATATTTGTGTTCCAGGCGATATACGACATGCTGGGCGCCTGTTCGAGCAACAGGCCGGCGGACAGTGCGGAGGAGAGGGCGAAGAACATCTTCGCAAAGATGGACGAGAACAACGACGGCCAGCTGACGCAGGACGAGTTCCTGAAGGGCTGCCTGCAGGACGAGGAGCTCTCCAAGATGCTGGCGCCTTAATCGCGAGGCGTCGCGGTCGCGAAAGACACGACGCCGTCGCGGCGAAAAGCGTCGCCGACAGGCGGGGTTAACCTAACCTAACCGACGAGAAACTGCGCGTTAGAACTTTCCTATCGTGGGGCGACGGATTCGAGGGGACTACGGGGACACGCGTTCCGCGTGCTTCTTTCGCAACGGATCCCTTGGAAGCAACTTCTTCTTCGGCCCCTTTCGTTTCGCGGAGAGACCAAGATGGCGTCTCGCACGAAATTGGATTTGCAAGAAGCCATCTACTTCGACTCCTTTTCGCGTCACGGAGAGACCAAGATGACGCTCAGGAGCCCCGCGTGCCGTTCGACCTCCACGAGATGACGGATTTATATGAAACGATCTTCTTCGGCCCAGTCCGTGTCACGAGGAAACCAAGATGGCGTTTGAGAGCCCCACGTGCCGTTCGACTTCCACGAGATGACGGATTTATATGAAACGATCTTCTTCGGCCCAGTCCGTGTCACGAGGAGACCAAGATGGCGTTTGGGAGACCCGTGTGGCGTCCCACGAGAAATTGGATTTGCAAGAAGCGATCTACTTCGGCTTCTTTTCGTGTCACGGAGAGACCAAGATGGCACTCGGGAGCACCGCGTGCCGTTCGACCTCCACGAGATGACGGATTTGTATGAAACGACCTTCTTCGGCCCATTCCGTGTCACGAGGAGACTATGATGGCGTTTGAGAAACCCGCGTGGCGTCCCACAAGAAATTGGATTTTCAAGAAGCAATCTACTTCGGCTTCTTTTCGTGTCACGGAGAGCCCAAGATGGCGGACTGAAGACATGTCCGGCGTCCAACTGTCGCAAGATATCGGGTTTTCGAGAAGCAATCTCCATCGGCTCTTTTCGCGTCGTGAGACCAAGATGGCACTCGGGAGGCCCGCGTGTCGTCCGACCTCCACGAGATTTTTATGAAACGATCTTCTTACGCTCATTCCGTGTCACGACAAGGCCAAGATGGCGGAGGGAAGACCTGCGTGCTGTCCAACTGCCGCAAGATATTGGGTTTTTGGAGAAGCGATCTTCATCGGCTCCTTTCGCGTCGTGAGACCAAGACGGCTATCGGGAAGTCCGCGTGCCGTGTAACCTCCACGAGACGATGGATTTTTATGAAACGATCTTCTTCGGCTCCTTTCGTCGCACGAAGAGCCCAAGATGGCGCTAGGGAGACCCGCGTAGCGTTCAATCTCCACGGGATGGCATCTTTTTATGAAACGATCTTCTTCGGCCCCTTTCGTGTCAAGGCGGGACCAAGATGGCGGACGAAGACGCGCACGGCGTCCGGCTGCCGCAAGATATCGGGTTTTCGAAGAGCGATGTCCTTCAACCCCTTTCGTGTCGCGGAGAGACCAAGATGGCGCTGGAACGACACGCGTGGCGTCCCGCAGGATATCGGATTTTCCAGAAGTAACCTTCCTCGGCCCTCTTCGTGTCACCGGAGTCTAAGATGGCACTTGGAGACTAAGACGGTTCGCGTAAAATGGCGGATTCCTTGGAAGCGACCTTTTCATCTCACGAAGAGACCAAGATGTCACCGGGAGGACACAGCGTCCGCTTCTCGCAAGATGGCGAATTTTCAAGAAGAGATTCCCTTAAGGCAGCCCTTTCTCGGCACGAAGGAACCAAAATGGTGCCCGAATGATACCCATCTTACATCTCGTCCCGACAAAGTGGCGAATTCTTCTTGTTCGGTCCTTCTTGTTACGCAAAGAGATCAAAATGGTTTCCGGAAAACACACGGGATGTCCGGTCCCCGCAAAATGGTACATCCTTTGAAAGCAAGTATCTCGTTTCACGGAGAGCCAAAATGGCGTTCGAAATCTCGAATTCGGTCCCCGCAAAATGGCAGAGATTTTGGCTACCTCCTTCGGACCTTTTTATTCCATGGTAAATTCAAAGTGAGACTCAGAAGATGAACTCAACATCTGCTTATCAGGAATAATTAAGCGTAATCCAACCTTTTATTAATCCAATTATCGACGGGTCACAAATGGGGTGCATTGGAAAAAACTGATAACGAATTAGATGGACTTTATACGTTAACAAATGTTCCATGACAGATCGCAGTCAATGTGTTCTCGCGACTCAGGAGGTAGAAAAATCGTATTGTTTGTTTTACAAAGCTCAAAGAATTATCAGAATAGAAGAGAATTTATGCCAGTACCAAATCAACTGCGTAAATTGTGATTCACTGTAGGAAACTGCGAAGCAACGCCCTGGCGGGAACATTGAAAATATGAAATACGATTCAAATCCCGTGATGGAATACCAAGATGGCGTCCAAAGGTAAAATTTGAGAAATGTCCACTGCCCGATGCGAAGTCGGATGCTCCTGATTTCTTTTTCTTCAAATGTTTGGGAAGGGAAGATGGAGTGAGAGGAAATTGAAGAAGAAAATGGCCTTCGGATCAGATGAACTGGGTTACGAACGAATCAACTCTTACTGACGGACTGTGAAATAATGTTATCTCATTCCAAGGAGGTCTGCGGTGCACACATAAAGAAAATTCGTAAAAACTGATGCAAAATGATTACGGAGGCACGCTTCAATGCAATTGTTTAACAATGAATCGTATAGAAGTAACCGCTTTCTTTGAACTCTTTTGCAAACATCAAAATGGTACCTGGAGAATTAACAAGTCGAACGCTTTTAGAAGAAAAAAAAGTGACAAATCGTCAGAAAAATTTAATTCAGTGATTATACCGAAGAATTTATCAGAGCCAACATAAACTAATAGATAATTATTGTTGAATGAGAGAAAACTGACAGGGAATTAAAACCTAAAATATTAAAACTAAAGGAAGACCTCAAGATAAGGGATCCTTAATGGGAACTAGGACATGACAAGGTTCCTTGTTCGTTCTTTCCAGATTAGCAAGAAGATCAAACATAATGCCCAAAAAATCAATACGATACCTGATCCTCAACATGACGGACAGAAGGTGTATCTTCCAAATGCCAGAAAACCACCGAAGAGTCCTCATTTCCCTCAAACGCTCCGAGAACTTCAAAACTTTGCGGAAAGAAGATCAAATTCAAGTACTTACCCCAATTTCCAGATCGATGTGTCATCGGACCATAATTCAATCGCAGTGGTAACCAGTGATCACAATTTAATTGCAGTGCTAAACTATCGCAATATTGACCTAAGGAACCATCACACAAAATGATCCGTTTTCCGATTAGGATAAATTCCATTTTCCGACTTAACGATGCATGGCAGGCAAAATAGTTTTAAACAAAAGTTGCTCCTCATGATACAACGAACAACTTTTGTGGGAAGCATTTTTCTACACCATGCACATTTAAGACAGAAACTGCGTTTGTTTTCGAAAACAAACCAGTGATCATAATTTAATTGCAGGGCAAAACTATTCCAATATTGACCTAAGGAACCACCACACAAAATGATCCGTTTTCCGATTAAGATAAATTCCATTTTCCGACTTAACGATGCATGGCAGGCAAAATAGTTTTAAACAAAAGTTGCTCCTCATGATACAACGAACAACTTTTGTGGGTAGCATTTTTCTACACCATGCACATTTAAGACAGAAACTGCGTTTATTTGAGAAAACAAAGCTGCAGTCTTCTTCAAACGCGACAAGACAAATGGCCACGTTAGTGACTTCGCATTTAAGCGGGATACAATTTCCAAAGGACGTATTTTGCGGGGATTAAGGGGTGAGTTATCGGAGGGTTTCGAGATCTCGAGCCCTCGGGGGGTCTCGAAGGAGAATCCTGCGTTTCTCCGCTTTTTTAACGACGCCATCGGGCGACAAGATGGAATTTCGCTTCCGCCGAATGTCGAGCGTCTTTCTTCTAGAATAGGGGATAGAAGTTCAAGTTCTTCTATATTATATATAGGAATGCTACGTACACACTCGCCAGACACACATTGACACGCACAGAGTGACGGGAGCTGCGAATGTGTGGATCACGTTTCAGCTAATCGTCTTAGACCAGTAGATTATCTCTACCTATGTCCCGATGTCATCTCTAACAAGGAAGGTATCTCAGGTCGATCTCTCCGATTTGATTTCTTTTATAATATGTTATAGTAGACTAAAAACTAAGCGACACGTATTTTTTTTTATTTGCCATTAAACACTTTAAGGGGGTGAAACCACCATTCGAAGTAAGGCCTGTGAGGGGTGGCTAACCCCTTAATTTTTTTTTTAGTTGAAAAAATTATATTTTTCATTTCTCGTTATGAGAAAGCTTTTCCAGGTGGATTGGTTAAAAATATTATGTTCTTATGGGTGAAACTGCCAAATCGCCCCTTGACATGCCTTACTTTGGATGGTGGTTTCACCCCCTTAAAGTGTCTAATGGCAGATAAAAAAAAATACGTGTCGCTTAGTTTTTAGTCTACTATAACATATTATAAAAGAAATCAAATCGGAGAGATCGACCTAAGATACGTTCCTTGTAAGACTTGGTGCTCTCCACCCAAGAGAAAGGCGGTAGATTTAGAGATCTATTTAGTGATAGAAGTCGACCAATTGCATACTTTATCCAGAGACCGGCTCCGTTCTCGATTTTGCGAAAGTGCAGCCGATTCGAAAGTACAAAGCAATCCGGATTTTTATTTCAATATTTCGTTTCGACGCGGCAAAATATTTCAATACGACTACTAATCGGAACAATAATGGCTAGGACCCTAGTAGCATGGAATAATTTCTAAATATTTCTTTGTAATCTTTGCTAAATATCTCAAACGACAGATTTTTTATGATTCGTGTAGACTTCATTCGAAGATATCTGAAATATTTGTTGAAAATCTCAATGACATATTTAGTTTCAATAATTTATAAACATATACAGAAATATTTTTTAACTTATTAACACAATAAAAATACATTTTTTACTTCACGACTATTTTATTATGGGAGGAAAAAGTGTGATTTTGATTTTAAATATTTATAAAACGTTTATAATGTATTCGGCAGATAATATTTACAAAGAAAAATACTTGAATTAAAATGAAACGAAATGTTTTGTATATCTGGTAGAAAAATATTATGAAAACACAAGGAGCTAATATTACATAAATATTATAGAGATGATATTCTAAAGTAAACGTTTTGCAAATATTTCAAATGTCTGGTAAATATTTACAAAATGTACGATATTCGTTAAATACATAGAAAATATAGGAGAAACATTTTGTGCTACTAGGGGAATAATTAATTAAGGAGTAATTAATATTTATTTTCACGACCGACGCACATACAGTACGTTTGAAATTGACTTAGAATTTTCCAAAATTAAAAAAACTTTCGAGCTCAAGCCATAATATTGTTAAACAATATATTCTACCTTATCTGATGATTCTTGAAACAAAAAAATGTCGAAAACAGTGAATATATTTGCTGTATTAATTAATTGCTGTTTCACCAAGAGGCAACCACAAAAAATGATCACTGTCGTCCTAACGTCGTCCTTCAAAAGGAAGACGATTTATTTCCAACTCGCCATGCCATCGAGTATTCGAAAGAGTGAAATTCTTTTTCCGTTCGTTTCCAGCTTCCGGTCAGGGGCAAATCCCTGGAACATGTTCGCCGAAGAGCCAAAACTCAGTTGCCTACCGGAACAATGGAGATTACGTGTTTTGCAGGGGAATACGAGGGGTGTCCTTTCCGTAACAGGGGAAGGATTAACCGGGATTTTCATGATTCCATTCAAAGAAAATGGCCATCCCGCAAAAAGTGACATATTTCGCATCCCGCTTCGGCAGGGAAAATTCCCGAAAAATTTCCCGGAACCCTGGTAGCTTAGAATAATTTCTAAATATTTCTTTGTAATCTTTGCTAAATATCTCAAGCGACAGATTTTTTAAGATTTCTTATAGATTTCACGCGAAGATATCTGAAATATTTGTTGAAAAAATCTCAATGACATATTTAGTTTCAATAATTTATAACCATATATAGAAATTATATTTTTTTTAATTTATGAACATGTAATACAAATACATTTTTTACTTCACGACTATTATCGGACACTTCATTTGGTATGAAAAAACACGAGAAATATTTCTAATACTTTCGTTCCGCTATTTCATAATGGGAGCAAAACGTGTGACTTTGATTTTAAATCTTTTTAAAACGTATATAACGTATTCGGCAGATAATATATAAAAAATACTTGTATTAAAATGAGACGAAATGTTTTGTATACCCGTCAGAAAAATATTATGAAAACACATGGAGCTAATATTATACAAATGTTATAAAGACAATATCCTGAAGAAAACGATTAGCAAATATTTCAAATGTCTGGTAAATCTAAACAAAATGTATGATATTCGTTAAATACATAGAAAATAAAGTGAAATATTTTGTGCTACTGGGGAAGTCTCCTCCCAAAGAGAAATATTCGAAATCGCGCACTTTTGCCAAGTCGAGTCGACGCCGGGGTGCAACTCTTTTAGGTTAGGCACATATCATCGCGTCCTTCCATAAACTAGTTTTAAGAAAAACAAAAAGAGAAAAAAAAAAGAAAAAAAATCCGAAGTAATTGGCTACATTGTCGTTCCACTTCGCGCTTCGATCTTCGCGACGAGTCAATTTTACCCCTAAAGATGAACCCCTTTCCCTCTCTCTCTTTCGCCATCGGAATAGTTTGGGGGGACTATAGGCGCGATACTAGAGTCGCCCAATATCCGGCGAGACAGGACACATTGTTATATATACATTATATTATACATACACGCGTACGATATATTATATGTATATTGGTTCGGCACAAGGCGTCCCGATAACGTGCGTCGGGACTTTCACGCGACTTACGGCTTATCACGGACGACACGAGGCGAACGCATCGAGGCACTACAATAGAAAGTCAAGCATTGACAATCGGAAATCATACATTTATGGAAAAGATCTAGAGTCACGTCGCGCGATCAATGATCTCGAAGTCGGCACGGGTCACGGCGTCAATTTTCCCCCTTTCTCACAGTTTTTCCTTAGGTTCAATTCGAAGTATCCTAAAGAGATTAAACAGTAGACCCCGATGCCTATATATATATCACGCGATAATTAGGATAATTATCTAGTAATTGCTGTAAAATTCCCACACGATCGGACATTTTGAAGGGTTTGTCGATTACCGAGTTCTGTTAAGGTGACATGAAAGGGCGACGAGATTTATGTTAGTCTGTTACAGTCTACGTTGGAAATTGTAGGAAAGTAATTCTATATGTCATTTCGGTAGAATAATTATAGAGAAAAAATTCTATAGTTGTCGAAATTGTTAGAGTTAGGTTCTGAAGCTTTTCATTTTCGATTTTAAATTTTTCAAAAGCGTGAAACGTCTAACACGGACACGGAGTACACCATGTTGGTTCTAATCCATGATATATAAATTAATTTTTTGGAAAAAAAAATGTAATTTCATGACCTACCTTAGAGCCTCGGTATTCACGTGGTAAAATTTCAAGTGAATCGGTACACCGAGTTTGGAGAAAAGTTTCTTTAATGAGACCTCACAGACGCCACTTTCATGTCACCTTAATTCTTTTGAGGATTGACCAATTGTTGCTGACAAACCCTTTTTTTTTTATATTTATCAGTTCTTGCGAGATGACCAATCATACGTACTTACCAGTCTTTACACAGGATTTTTCAGTAGAGAGTAGGAGTATTTTATGAAAGTTTAAGAAACAATTTAAATCAATAACAGTTATTTAAATTGGTGCCATTATTCTCTCTGCAATTCAAACATTGCTCCTGAAATTATCGGATGAAATAGAATGCGCCTATGACGTAAAATAAAAATAGAAAGGAATTATTAATGAAGGAAAAATGAAATGTTTTTGTGCCTTGTTTTTGGGTCACAGATTGAAATTAAAAAATAATTTTAGCTATTTATAGGGTAAATACGCGCCCGGAAAGGTGTCGAATGAAACCTTATTTACATGTGGAAATTTTACAAAAGGTACTATTATTTTACGAAAATAAATTTTTTTAATCTGATTCGCGTTTGTCTACCAGAGATCTAAATTTCAGAGAATGTCAATCCCCTGACGCAGTGGT